AAGGAAGGAAGGAAGGAAGGAAGGAAGGAAGGAAGGAAGGAAGGAAGATACAACAAAAATACATAGATGAGAGAAGAAGGAATTTCAGAAGCAAATATTGCAAGCAGCATGGTATCCTGTTAAATTGGATATATGTTTTTTAAAAACCAAGATGTACACAATTCATATACAATTCTCACAGTTTCACATATAATCCTTTTTTTCTTTTCTTCACTGTATATGAAAATGTTCATGTTTGTGACACTCATAATAAAACATTAAAAAACAAACATAATAAAGCACCATTTTCAAAAATTATCCATAAGTTTAAGATCTAAGGGTGATCCCAGTGGTGGTGTGGAAGGTGAGGCAAAGAAATAAGCATTTATAATATAGTGCCTACTGCCAGGCACTGGGCAAGTACTTCACAAATATCATTTCATTTGATCTTTACAACAACCCTGTGAGATAGGTGCTATTATTATCCCCATTTTACAGTTGAAGAATCTGAGGCAGACAGCAGTGAAGTGACTTGCCCAGGGTCATATAGCTATTAAGTGTGTAAGGCTAGAATTGAACTCAGGCTTTCCTGACTCCAGGCCCAGCCCTAGAGGAAATTAACAATAAAGGTCAAAGATGACAGAGATGATAAGTGACATTTGTGGATACTGGAATTAAATAAATACAGAATACTAGACATAAAGTATCTCACCATTTTTATTGTGCTATGCTCTCAGAAAGACACACTGGAACCCCTCCCTGCAGAACCATATTGTACCCTTAAAAAAAACGCATTACAAACTTCACGACCATCAGCAAGGACAAACATTGAAGGAGCAAAGTCTTAAAGAAGGAAAAAACCTTTAGCATTTAATAAAGTGTTGCCAACTGAATTAACAAGTAACTCATAAACCAAAAATGGTTTTGACCTGTGCCCCCTCTCCCAGTTCTTTTGGAGGTTTGCTATCCTTGGCTTTGTTACCTTTCTTTAAACAGAGCCACAGACCATATGGTTACAACTCTGATTCTTCAGATCCTGACTAACATCACTTGGTATAGTTCTTCCAGTTCCTCATATCGATTGCTTTTTATAGAACCACAATGTTCCATGACATTAAGTACTATAGTAACTTTAGTTAGTGTCCAATCCTCAACCACACGAGCTGGAGGTCTTTACTACATAAATAAAGCAGCTGTGGATATTTTGTACAGAAAGATTATTTATTCCTTTGCACAGTGTTTATAGGATAAAGTCCTAGAAATGTAGGGTCAAAAAGTATGATTGGCTTTGTGACTCTTACTGTTACTGTCAAAGTGCCCTAAAAATGATTTGCACCAATTGATGATTTAACTAATAGTAATAGAGTATCAACTTGCCCAAAGCCTGGCAACATTTTATCTTTGACTATTTTTCCCATTCTAGACTCTATGGGGTAGTATCTTAAAGTCTTCTCGAAGTGCATTTCTTCTATTATTGAGGAATCTACTAATTTTTTCATATGGGTATTAGCGATTTTAATTTCCTAGATTGGATTATACCTGCAGGAAAAATCTCTAGAAAATCAATAATTTACCAGAGTCACTTGTTTGTTTTAACTATCTGTATATAATCCACATGAATTTTCATTAGCAGATTTTTTTAATTTAATTTTTTTTAATTTAAATTAAAAAAACAAATTCAACAAATTTGAGTGGTAAAAGAAATTTCAATTATTGGGTAAATGTGTCTAACTCTCTTTCTAACCTAATGTAGACTTGCTCTTACATCCAATTCTATAACAACCAAAAATTCCAATAGTTCTCTCAGTAAGGATGTTTTTCATTCATTCCTCGGAATTTGGAGATACTCTGTTTTCTGTCTCATCATGTGCTTTATAGTAACAATTTCTATACAGCACAACCTTCAAAGTTTAGTTATTTTTCCCCCCACAGTACAGATTCCAATTGAAAGTCAACTGTAACTTGAGCAGCTAGGAAGGGAAGAAGATACAGGATTTGGCCTAGAGTCAAGAAGACTTAAGTTCAAATCCAGCCTCAGACATGTTCTAGCTAAGTGACCTTCAGCAAGTCCCTTGACTTTTCCTCATCTGTAAAATAAGGGTAATAATAGCACGAATCACCCAGAGTTGTTTGGAGATTCAAATGAGACGACATTTGCAAAGCACTCAGCACAGCACCTGGCATACAGTATTAGGTGCGATATAAATGTTCATTTTTATTATCATTATGTAACTACCACACAATGTACAGCCCAAATTTTATGGAACTAAGAAGCAATATGGGCCTTTCATTCTCCTTGCCTCACAATGAGTTTCATTTTATTTCTGAATTTAACTGTAAGTAGGCCTTCTTCTATTACCCTACTACCCATGTATTTCTGTCTTTTGGTATAAGAATGTACTCTAGGCTATTCCTATTTTTTTTTTTACTTGTGTGACTGAAAAACTTCTCCTTGAATAATAGTGGTAAAGGATGGAAGTTCTATAGGGCATTAAGAAAGACTCATATTTCCAATCCAACTAGTCCTAGAATCAATAGGTTGTTGAAGTGTTAGCCATAAAGTGCCTCTGGGACCAATCCTTGACCAAAGTGAGATTAGCATGATTAAATCCTCTTCATCCTTCTCTTCTCTGTCTTTCAGGATGCTAGTGTCAGTAGGTTACTTTGGTCTCTCTCTCAACACTCCTAACTTGCATGGAGATGTCTATCTGAATTGTTTCCTATCTGCTGCCATTGAAGTCCCTGCCTATGTGATAGCCTGGCTACTGCTTCGAAACCTGCCCCGACGATACATCATTGCTGGGACACTATTCCTGGGCGGAGGGGTTCTCCTTTTCATTCAACTGGTTCCCACTGGTGAGCTTACTTGATATCATACACTACTAACTTTACAGAAAGAAAAAAAAATCAAACCTTTTTTTCAGGCCATGAAAATGTCATGTATCCTATATGTCCTCACAGCTTACTGTCTTTGAACCTCCTAGTAAAATGAATGAAATTAATATCCTTCACCACTAGAGCACCACGAAGTTAGTCTTGGTTTAAGACATGTGAGTAATGATTTGATTCAGTTCAATTAAACATATATTTATTAAGAACTTACTATGTGCAGGTTACCATGATGGGCACTGGAGAAACAAAGACAAAATGGAAATGAAGTCTTGTCCTCAGGACCTTTTACTCTGTTGGAAGGATATATTTGTTCAATCAATGTAGGAAGCAGTGAAGGCAAAGAGGGGGAGCCAGGAAACGTGCTTAAGGAATATTTGATGAGGAAATGAATGTTTTCATTAGGAGGAGAAAGGAAGACTACATAGAGGAGATGGAAGCCTATCATCCCAGAAGAAGACGGGATCTAGGCTAAAATGAAGAGGGAGTTTATTGCAGGCACAAGTGCCTCCCAGGCTTATTCCAAGAAAAGCTAATGGGCCAGTTTGATCAAGACATGAAGTACATAGAGGGGAGTGATGTGAAATAAAGTCAGAAAGGTAGATTCAAGTTAAATTCCAAACTGAGAGGTTTATATTCAGCTTCTTCCAATTGCAAGAATAAATTGACCTTTCTAGGTTTCTCTGTACTCTTGTGTTTGTATTTCAAAGTTCTTATTTCAGTTCTTGTCTTTTTGTTAGAAATGTTTGAAAGTTCTATTTTGTGAAACATCCATCATCCCCTCCATAGGCTCTGTAGGCTGATGTCCTAAGTCTATATCTTTTGCCTTTTGAAATATTATATTCCAACACCTCCTCTTATCTTTAGTGGAAGCTGCCAGGTCTTGGGTGATCCCAACTGTAGTTCCTTAGCGCCTAAACTATTTCTGGATGCTTGTTGGATTTTTTTTTTAATGAAGAAGCTTTCTTTTGGGGGTTCCTTTTAGGAAGTGATTGGTGAATTCTTTCTCTCTTTACTTTGCCCTCTGGCTCTAATAGATCTATATAGTTATCATTTATGATTTCTTGAAATATAGTATCCAGGCTTTTTTGATGAGTGTGGGAAATCATGGTTTTCAGGGAGTCAGATGATTCTTAAATTATTTTGACCTGTTTTTAGGTCTATTGTTTGTTAGTAACAGATATCTTACATTTTATTCATTTTTTTAATCTTCTGAATTTGTTCTAATATTTCTTACTGTCTTATGCAGTCATTGATTTCTATTCAGTATGGTCTAGTTTTCAGTCCATTACTTGAGCAAAGTTTACCATTTTCTGTTCTAACAATTTTTTCTCCCTCTAATTCTTTCCTCCAAAGCATATATATACATATACATATATATATATATACACACACACATATGTATACATATACATATATACAAAATCATTTACTTCTTTTCTTCTAGATATTCATGTAGTCCTTATGGAAAATCCATTTTTCCTTTGAGTTTCTGCAGTTATTCCTGTTATTTGCATCTTGTTTGGGGAGATTTGTAAATCTACAACAAAAATTTTTAATTGTGGTCAGTGTTTTATTTGACTTACCTCTCCAGCTTTTAGTTCTTGAATTGGGGCTTTGTGCTAGGGCCAGGCTCTGACTACTGGTGTGCTTTTATATGAGGTAGGTGGTCCTGCTTAATCTTACTATGTAACCTGGATTCTTGTGTTGACCTCCATCTCCCACAGTTAGGCCTCCCTGGATTTTTGAGGTTCAAAATACTGGGTCTTCTTTAATGTGTTAAGACAGAGTGCTAGGGATCTTAGAGCCCAAACACCTGGGATATCCTAGTCTGAAAGCTCCCATGCCACTGGTCAGGCCTTCCAAGGCTTTCTTGGGGGAGCTCTCCACTCTTTTTGCCTCTGGACATAGAGCCCTGCAGACCTCATGTTTCTTTGTACTGGTATGATATTGACTTATTGCCTGTTTTGCACTCATACTGACTTTGCTGACATCCCTTCTCCTATTGCCGTGGGCTTCTGGCTGACTTTTTGTGCATTCCCTGAGTGACTACAATCTATCTATCTATCTATCTATCTATCTATCTATCTACCTACCTACCTATGTATCAGTACTATAGTTTCTCATTTGATTTCTTGATGATTATTCAGTTTGGTACAAATTTCAGGTTTTGGCTGGAGTAGATATGTGGGAGGTATCTGCCTTCCAATACAGACATATTCATGACCATCCCCTCTTAGTGGCTGAGGTAGAGAGGAAACAGGTATCATAAAAGTTGAGGAGGTGAAACTGATAGAAAATGCTAGAGCATTCAAAAGGACATTAACATGAATACTGAAATCACCAGGGATCAAGGTAGGGCATTGGACAAAAAGGAAGACTTGAGGGCCAGAGACTAAAATCTCTGAGAAAGGAAGGAAGCTTATCTGGAGTTAAAAGACATGACCAATACTTGGACAATGTGATATAGACAGATGGAGTAAATTTAAAATATCAAGAGATGGCTGAGTGATGGTGGCTAAAGAAAAGCCTCAAAGTGGTGATAGAGAACAAGAATATTGAATGGTCCTCTTGGCCCATTATGTTGCTGGGTAGAAGAGAAGGATGAACCAGCACTGAAGAGAGCAGCAAGAGATATGGTTCCTTAAGGAGAAAACCAGATTTCTGTGAGTACCACAATCCTATCTAACAAGCTTTTATTGAGTACCTTCTATGTGTGAGGCACTATGCCAGGTGCTGAAGATACAAAGACAAAAATAAAAATGGTCACTCTACTGAAAGAGCTTACCATCGGATTCATGAGCTATGACCCAAAGCCCTTTCCGGTCAGTGCTATGCAGAACTCACCAATTCCAAACTGGATCCTTTTTTGTCATGCTTGAGATTGCTGCTGCCCACACAGTGTTACTTGTTGGCTAAAACACTAGTGTTCCTATTAGACATACTTGGGAGCCAGATTCTACCCACCTCCATAGGACTCACTGTCTACAACTTGGGGGCCTTGGCTTCCCAAGGGCTCTCATGGTCCAGAGTCCCTCCCAAAAGAATATGAGAGAAAGACATCGAGGATGAAGGAGAAAATTGTTAATGATAGAGTGGGAATACCAGAAGACCCAGTGGAAGGAAAGAGCAAAGAAGAAAATAAGGATTGGGAGGAATAGGTCTGGGCTGAATAAGAATGAGAGTACCAAGAGAAATAGCAGGGGAAAGGGATTTTGCTTCAGCAGACTGGAACTCTGAATCCCAAGGACTAGAGGAGCAAGAGGTAGGAATTTGCTAGCCATAGGGCAGAGACAATACCAAGTATGGAAAAGGCTAAATAAGCATCAGATTTTTATTAGAATTTGGATGTGAAAGTGTTTCTGCTACTGATATCTACCAAGTTAAACCCTCTGGTGGATTTACTGGGGCATGGAAGGATCAATGGTAATGATAATCTGGAAGGTCTTGTGGTAAAGAAGGCTTCAATCCCAGGTGGCTACTTCAGTCTTCCATCCCTCTTGCCCCCAAGGGATATGGTCTCAGCAATGTGATGATGAAGGTGCCTGGAACAGTAACAGTCAACTCACTTCACCCCTGCTTTGACAGAGATTCCTTAGGTTAATTAGAACAGAGATAGAAGGGTCAATTGGGAAGGTCAATTTGGGTCAACTGGCAACTGGGAAGGTTATGTGATAAAAAGCCTTTAGAACTGCCATTTTTATTATTATGGAGTTATAAAGTCTCTTCTTTCACATATTTAGATAAAACAGTCTCCCACAGGAGGAGAATCTGATTAGGACATTATGTAACTATGTAATAGAGGCATTCTGCATACAGCTACTTGGCTACCATGGGATATGTAAGGGGCTCCCTGAATCCTTAGATGTTCTCTGGGAATCAGAAATGCATGGTCCTAAAACCGAGCTTTGCTTCCATATCTGTTTCTCACAGATGTATATAGTAGCATGAGAACCTAGAGTTTGAAGTCAGAGGACTCAGGGGACCTTTGGCAAAACCTCCACCTCTCTGACCCTCAGTTCCCTCATTTATAAGATGAGAGAGTTTGATAATGTGGCTTCTAAGTTCCCTTCCAGCACTAAATCATGATCTCTGTAAAGGTAGTTTTGAGCTCATGATCTAGGACACGGTTTTATCAAGTAGCAATAAAAAAGATAGCTAGGTAATGCATGGAGAGAGCTTAGAGTTAGTTCAAATCCTGCTTCAGACACTTGTTAGCTCTATGACCCTGGGCAAATCATTTAACCTGTCTACGTTGCTTTCCTCATCTATAAAATCGGGATAATAACAGCACCTACCTCCCAGGGGTTTTTTGAGGACAAGATGAGATAACATATATAAAGTGCCTTGTAAAACTTAAAGTAGTAAATAAATGCTAGTTACTATCATTAATGTTATGACATTAGATAACAGAGAAAATAGGGCCGGGGTTGAGGAACCTGTGGCCTCGAGGCCACATGCCTCTAGGTCCTCAACTGCAGCCCTTTGACTAAATCCAAACTTCACAGAACAAATCCTTTTATTAAGGATTTATTAAAGATCTCTTTTTTTATTAAGGATTTATTAAGGATCCTTTTATTAAGGGGATTTGTTCTGTGAAGTTTGGATTCAGTCAGAGGGCTGTGTTTGAGGACCTAGAGGGCCACATGTGGCCTCGAGGCTGCAGGTTCCCCACCCCTGTCACACAAGCTCCTGCCTAGGTTCAGAAATTCACTGGCCAAGTGAGGAGTTAAGTATCAAATACAACAAATTTCAATGGTAAGCATATTTATTCTTTCATTTTTTTCACGTTATACAGTTGAGCATAGCATTAAAATGTCGACTTTAAAGAGTGATGTGATAAACGCTCTATATACTTCCATCTTTAAAGCCAGCATAGAAAGGAAAGGCCCTTCTCTTTGGGGGTTGTTATTTGTTTAACTACATTAACTCACTAACGACCTAGCTGGAACTATGTGTGACAAATGCACAGAAGCCGTACAAAGGTCGCCTAAATCATAAGGCATATGGGATTAGAGTAGTAGTACAAAGTACAAAGCAATCTTCCTTTGTGATCCCTGATGATGTCCAGTGATAGGCAACCCCAAAAGAACACTCCACTGTATAAAAAGAAGGACACAAAAGTCTTTTGAGACAACCTGTATTATTTGCTGCTTTTCAGCATGATGAAAAACAGCAACTGGCTTTCCTTAATGAATAGGAGATATACAAAAACAGCATCTAAATAGGAGGAAAGGAAAATGGGGTTAGACAATTACTTCTAAAACTCATGTCTTTTCATTGGATCTGTTTTCCAGAATACCATTTCTTATCCATTGCCCTAGTGATGCTAGGAAAGTTTGGAATCACCTCTGCATTTTCAATGCTCTACGTCTTCACAGCTGAACTCTACCCAACACTTGTCAGAAACATGGCTGTGGGTGCCACTTCCATGTCCTCCAGAGTGGGTAGTATCATTGCTCCTTACTTCGTTTATCTTGGTGAGATTTTTACTTATGATTTGTTCATTCTTTCCAAGCCAAGAAAAATTCATTTAATTCATTAAAACCTTAAAGTGGTTAATCTCTGAGAGTTTTCTATTTTGATACCTTTAAAAATGTCTTTATTGATGACTTTTGTCTTTGCAGCAGTCATTTCTGGAAACATCCACCTTCCCCTTCCAGTTTAAACTTTCCTATGTTAAAGAAAAACAATTAAAGCAAAAATATCTGATACAATCTACGTCTGACAACATTCTGCCCTAGTTACTCTTCTACCTCTTTGTCACAAGGTGGGAGGTGTGTTTTATTATGTGTTCTTAATCAGTGCCTTCTGTTTTGACATCACAGTCATTTCTGTAGCTCGTCCTCCCCCTGGTAAGCCTTCCCCATAACAAATTTGTTAGCCAAAACAAACTGACACTATGACATCATGTGACAGTGTTTGCAAGACTCTGCATCCATAGTCAGATGTCTCCAACAAAAGGAAGGAAATACATTTCCATGAGGTTTTTTGAGTTTCTACTATCTCTATTTGCTTATTTTCATTTTATTGCCTTCATTTTAATATTGATTTTCCTGAACAACATTAGATATTGGATTCTCAAAGTCTTACTACATTTACAATGCCTATAATTTCTACAGAGCTGTCAACCACTTTCCCCTACTCTAAGTTCTCCTGGGGAACAGCTAAGTGGCACAGTGGACAGATTGCTGGGTCCCATCTTACTGAATTCAAATCTGGCCTTGACAACTTACTAGCTGTATGACCGTGGGCAAGTCACTTGACCCTGTTTGCCTCAGTTCTTATAAAAAATGAGCTAGAAGAGGAAATGGCAAACCACTCCAGTATCTTTGCCAAGAAAGCCCTAAATGAGGTCACAAAGAGTCAGATATGATGAAATGACTAAACAAAAAAAAAGTTCTCCCACCTCGTTTCAACAAATGAGGGAGTGCTGAGTTAGCTCAAGTTCTTCCACTAAAAGAACAGTCTGTTTCACATGGATGACTGAGTGCCAGCTTACATGGAGGCTCCCAAGGGAAGGCAAAATTAAGCAAGTAAATGATTATGGAAGTTCAGAGGTTCCATGGAGGCTGCCAACGTGGAACTGACATTGCATACCTTCTTTCTGGCCTTTGAAGAATTTTAAATCTGAACCCCTAGCCTCAAATTCTACTGATGTCTTAGCAAAGGAATCTCTGTATGTAGCATCCACAGAGGCTTTATTACCAGCAGTCTCCTTTGATTAAGCTGAATTGGGAGTATTATACATAGAAAAGTTTCCTACACTGAGTGGGAGGTGGGCCTAGATGAGTCCTAAGGTTCTTTCCAACTCTAAGGTTCTGGTTCTATGATTCTCATTTTCTACTAGGTGCTTATGACAGGATCCTGCCATATATTCTTATGGGCAGTCTAACTGTGCTCATTGGCATCGTTACCCTGCTTTTCCCAGAGAGCCTTGGAATGGCGCTACCAGAAACCTTCGAACAGATGCAGAAAATAAAAGGGTAGGTAGATTTGATCTAATCTCTGCTAAAGTAAAATAGAACTGTTATTATCACTCAGAAGTATTTAGAGAGAAACATTAAATAATAACTTAATGCCACTAAAAGGACCCTTTCGTTTTGTGTTTTTCTTCCTTCCTTCTTTCCTTCCTTTTTTTAAAATGTCTGGTATGGTTGGGGGTAGGGGAGAGGTTCCAGGTCTGTGATTTCATTAGTGTACAGAATTCTCAGCATGGAAGTCTTCACTGATGCAGAGCAGCAACTCCTAAGCCCCTTATGGTCCTAGAGAGTTGCCTGGGCTCTGAGATGTTAAGCAATTTACATGATCCCCACAGCTAGTGGGTGTCAGAGACAGAGTTTGAACCCAGGTCTTCCTGACTCCAGGGCTGTCTTTCTATCCACTATAGCAAACCATTTTTAACATTTACTAGATGGTTCTCATTCCTAAGAGGCAAAGAGGTTTGAAAGGACACATTTTTGTAGTTGAACACATATCTCAGTACCTAAAGCAATCTCATTAACCTGGATACTTCTTTCAATGCCCATTTAGACCCATCAATCCCTTCTCATCCTGTGAAATTCCTCCCTGTGTCCTTTCACCAATCCTCCATGCAGAATCTACCCAACTCACTAGAGATCTTCCTGAAAGTGTTTTCACATTCCCAGAATGCCAGTGCAGCCCTTGAGTATCCGTCAGTATGTAGCCTCACATTTGTTGATAACAACAACAAAAGGAATTGACATTTGATATCTTTATTTGATATCTTTATCATGTAGGAACACCAAATGTTTTTCACCTGACAAAGTTATCCGGGCTAAATGGAGGTGGTTCAATTGTTTGTTTGATTGATTGGTTATACATATATATATAGATATATATATAATATGTACATATAATATATATATAAAAGCATTCTACATCATTTATCTCAACTAAGTAGCACAATGTATGACATATTATAAGTGCTTAGTAAATGTTTGTTGTTCTTCAGTCATGTCCAACTCTTCATGACCCAGTGAACCATAGTATGTCAGTATTGTCCATGGAGTTTTCTTGGCAAAGATACTAGAATAGTTTGCTATTTCATTCTCCAGTGGATTAAGGCAAACAGATATCAAATGACTTGCCCAGCATTACACAGCTAGTAAGTGTCTGAAGCTGGATTCGAACTTGGGTCTTCCTGACTCCAGGTCCAGTGTTCTATCCACTTAGCCACCTAGTTGCTTCAATGTTTACTAACTGACAGTCCTTATAAGGACTCTGTCAGGTAAATTTTATAGGTATTAGTCTCCCCATTTTATTTAACTGAGGCTCAGAGAGGTTGTGATTTTTCCATAATTAAGCAAAGTGCAAAAAGCAGAATTCAAATGTGGATCCTTGCTGCTCCTTTCCATTATTCCATGCAGTCATTTGATACATGACTGGTAGCCTGGACACCATCAATTATTCTACTTCTTACTTGCAAGTCATGCTAGGTGGCCCAATCTAATTTTTTTTCTTTTTGGTGAGGCAATTGGGGTTAAGTGACTTGCCCAGGGTCACATAGCTAGTAAGTGTCAAGTGTCTGAGGCCAGATTTGAACTCAGGTCCTCCTGACTCCAAGGCAGGGGCTCTATCCACTGCACCACCTACCTGCTTCGAGCTAGGTGGTCTAATCACATCCACAGTGTGATCCATTGTTCATTGGGTCAGTCACAACCTTGATTTTTCTAATTCAAGACTCTAAGAGTTGGAAAGTTACCAGTGATCTCTTAATTGTCAAATCCAATGACCATTTTCTCAATTTTCATTCTTCTTGACCTCTCTATAGCTTTTGACACTGTCGGACACCCTATTCTCCCTGATACTCTCTTCTCAGTAGGTTTTTGAGATATTACTCTCTCCTGGTTCCCCTCCACCTATCTGACCACTCTTTTTCAGTCTCCTTTGCTGGATCTTGATCTAGGTTAAGCCCACTGACTGTAGGTGTCCCACAGGGCTCTGTCTTGGGCCCTGTTCTCTTCTCCCTCTGTACTGCTTCACTTGGTGATCTCATCAGTTCCCATGGATCCCATTATCTATGATTCTCAAATCTACTTATCCAGCCCTAACATCTTTCCTTAACTTTCAGTCTCACAGCTCCAAATTATTAGACACCTTGAACGGGATGTTCTGCATCAACATGGCTACTGACCTCATTTTCTTTTCCTGAAAAACTCTCCCCTTCCAAACTTCCCTCTTACTATCAAAGGCACCACCATGCTCCGAGTGACCCAGGCTCACAACCTAGCTGTCATCCTTGAGGCTTCATTGTCTCTCACCACCCACATCCAATCTGATATCAAGTCCTGTTGATTTCACCTTTTCAACGACCTTTTCTCCTCTCATATTGCCACCACCCTGGTACAGGCCTTCATCACTTCAAGCATGAACTACTGCAATAGTCTGTGGTTGATCTGCCTGTCACAAGCCTCTACCCTCTCTAGCCATTCAGCCCAACCAAAGTGATCTTCCTAGAGTTCAGGTCTGACCACATCGCTCTCCTACTCAATAAACTCCAGGGGCTCCTTATCATCTCCAGGATTTTATATTAAATCTTGTGTTTGGTGTTCAAATCTCTTTATAACCTAGTCCCATCCCCACCTTTGTAGTCACTGCCACCTTATACTACCACCACCAACACCTCATATACTCAAGTGACATGGGGTGGCCACCTTGCTGTTCTTTGAACAAGACATTTGATCTCCTAACTAGAAATTTTCACTTGTTTTTCTGGAATGCGCTCCCTCTTCATCCCTACCTACTGGTTTTCCTGGCTTCCTTCAAGTCAAAGCTACCCCACCTAGCTGATTTCAAGTTCAGTTTTCTGTTTGACATCCTTTCTATAGTGATTTCAACAAGTGGTCTTTAAGTCTTTGTTGAAGTTGCCTAGAGAGGCTAAAACCACTGCTTTCCAAAGTGGTCCATTCCACTTTTGGATAACTGTCATTATTATAGTTTTTCCTATATAAAGCCTCCACCTAGGCCTACAATTTCCACCCAGTGTGTTTATAATTTTTCCCTCACAGGTCAAGTATAATTCACAGAATCACAAAAATTCACAATCTCCCTATTTGTCTTGAATTTCAATTTCTATTATGCATCTTTGTTTATCTTCACAGTTCAAAGTCTTTCTACTTGAAGGAGAAAACAGAAGTAAAATAATGATGGAATAGTTCTGATTTCTTTCCATCATGCATTGTTCTCATTCCATCCAATGCAAAAGTCTTTTCTTTGGTTAACATCTTTTTCCCCAATGTATTTGAAAATTTCAATTTTATTTTTCTTAGCTTTAATTGATTACCCCAATTCACTAGGAGTTTTTGTGTTCGTAATACCATTCCAGTATTACCATGTCATGTTTTTTTTTTGTTTGTTTTTTCCTTATCTGCTCTGGCTTCCATCTTCTATTGAACATCTTTTTAATATCCAAGTTGATCATTTTTTTTGAGAACATTTCCCCTTTAATTTCATTTAAAATTGGTTTCTCTTTGTTTCATTGTTTCAAATTCTCATTGTTTCTCATTGTTTCAAATCTCTTGCTGATTTTGATAAAGGGCAATTCCCCTAACACACACACACACACACACACCTTTTCAGTCTTACACCTTACTCCCAGTGACAATGGCCTCCTTGCTATTCCTAAACACAACATTCCAAATCTCACCTCGAGACATTTTTACTCACTGTCCCCAGTGCCTGGATTGTTGTCTCTCTTCATCTCTGCCTCCATCTCATGAAATGACTCATTGTAATAAATAAGCAACCATACTCTCTTTAGATTGAATAAATACTATGGGTCAGACATGTTATGTTACCAGTTTTCAAATGGATGAACTGCTGTTATGATTAACATAATATAAATTCATTTAAGAGTATTGGTGAATTCATAATAAGCCTTTACAGAAGCAGAAGGGGACAGCATAGTACTGAAGACTACTTTGTAATCTTTCTGTTTTTCCTGGATTGTCTTTAGACAGAGAATTCATTACTTGTACTTATTTACTCACTGGCTCAATCCCACACGTGTTATCCCAATTATATGCACATTATAATTCAGAGGAGGAGAAGGAGGACTTATCACCAACTGATTGGACGCTAAGTGGTGAATCTGGGGGTTGTGAAGACAAAGGGGATCTTTGCATAGGTTGTTGGACTAGATGAGATGGGCTCTGAAGTCTCTTCTGTTTCTAAAATTCTGTGACTGTATGGCTTATGAAATACTTAAGACAGGAGGGAAATTACTAAACAAATTTTATTTTACTAAACAGAAAACAATTTTTTTTCAGTTTCAGATCCAAGAAAAAAACAAGGAACTCCACTGGGGGAGAGAAGAATCCCAAGGTTTTCATAACTGCATTCTGACCAACTTCTGTCACATTTGGTAAACAGAGGTCTCTGAGACTGGGGAGAAGCCAAAGCATATCCTGCCAGAAAGGACTACCTGATGGAAAATACAATGAGCACCCCATTATTGTCAATATCTTTGCCATGTGATAAACTAGGGTATTGCTGTTTTTGATACTTTGTCTTGTCAACCAGGATCAAAATATGTTTCCATAGAATTCTCAGATGCAATGGCTTCGTTTACATCTGTGAACGAGGTCCACAATGCTTTTTGAGGACACAATAACTAAGAAGTGAAATGCTCAGGGTGTCTCACTTATTTTTAGACATGCAAATACCACCCACATCAGAAATGTCTCAGACGTTAAAGGCAGAAGTACAGCTTTGGGTACTCAGAGGTATTTAGGTTTTATTTATTTTTTTTCATTGATGCTGCACTTCCAATGTAGTCATCTCTGAAGCAAAAATATTTGGTATTCCCTATAAAGAAGAAAGAGTTTCTTAGTATTCGTATCCTCAATATTTGATGTACACTAATGTAAGAATCTTTTATCCTAGTATTTGAAAACATCTTTAAAAACATTTACTCTGTTTCCCAGATACCCTTCTTGAAATAAATTAATGGCAAAAGTCCTTATCATTGTGCGGGTAAATTGTAGAGGTAAAGAAGCTGGTCAGAGTGACCCACCTGCTATTACCCACAATGGAGCTAGGAGGATAATCCTTGGCATCATAGTCCATTACCAGCATCCCCATCCAATACATTCTCCTAAAAACTCCAAATTTTTCAGTATTCATTTTAAATATGAGAATTATGCTGTTGTATTAGGCTTGTTTATAAATCAGATATTTCTATTGTATATTAGGAAAAGTTTGAAATAAAAAGTGCTGTTCATTGTTCGTGGTGACAATCTTACCTAAACATATTTTAAAATGGAAGTTGCTCAAAGCTAGAAATAGGTTTTTGTTTTTTAAAAAAACATCATTAAAAACATCTCCTTTCCAGAAATAGCTTCTCTGTTCCTGAGCACAACTATACAGATGTGCTCCCACCTTTCTAATTGTACATTGTCTGTGGAAGGCATAAGGGTTTACCACTGGGGTAACTGATTAAGTTAGCACTCCTGTTAAGATGCAAAAGTTTGTATTTGATGTTGGTTAACCTACACACTAAACAATCAGACTGCAAATGCCAGTGTTCCTACTCAATCTTTACATGGCACTGTCTCTGAAAGCAGCTGAAGACCAAGCCTTGTTATCTAAGTGTTGTCCACACACATTCCTCTTTAAAATAGAGTTTTTCTGAAGAAAAATACAAAAGTGCTTGAAGCATCATTGCAATAACCTGACTCATCTTACTCCCCACAATGTGTAATACTACAGGATATATGGAATAAACCACTAATGGCCACCAGATTTTTATACGTTTTCTGTGACTCCTGAAAATAATTTTCTGTGACAGAAAAATTCCATGTAATAAACCACTAATAGCCACTAGTTTTTTGATATGTCGTCAATGGCTCTTGAAAAGAATTATCTTCAACAGGAAACTTTCCAGGTCTAAGTATTTTTCAAAGGAACCTCTGATTTGGCATGTAGAGAAGTTTTTTGATCATTTAAAGATGCTCATCTCAAAATCTTTGACATTGATATCAATTATTATCCTCCTTAAAAGAGGATTTGTCAGAGGGTACTATTATTGTGTGTGTGTGTGTGTGCGCGCACGCCTGTGTGTATATGTATGTATACAAATACATATATATAGTATTGACACACTGAACCTATTATATATTATTACAAATACATATATATAGTATTGACACACTGAACCTATTGTATATTATTACAAATGAAATTTTAAATATATTAAAGGATTTTATAAATCTCATGCCCCTTATGGAGCAAAAAACTTAGATATTCATTTTTTAAATGTTTGGGATTGAGGGGTTCCCCCCTTGCCATTTTCACTCATTCACTTTACCTATTATTCAGTCTCATAAATTCTAGAGGGGACAATCTGTCTCCTCTGGGCCTTAAGGCCTCTCTCATTCAATCCAAATAAGCGTTCATTAAGAGCATTTGATAGGGATGTAATGTATGTATAATAACTGTCAAAGAGCAAAGGATTTATTCAGTAACAACCCCAAGCCACTGTTTAACTTATGTAGTGTGGTTTTAATTTTTAATTATGGTTTGCTTCCTGAAAATTATATATGGTCAAGAATATAAAGTGAAACAATCTCTGAGAAATATTTTTGGAAAGGTCATAATGCATTCCCTAACCAACAATGACTTGAATTTCAAACTGTGTCAGTGATTTCAAGATGGTACAATATATAGAATTATAAGTGCCTTAAACTTTTCTGTATTATTCAAAGATTATAAATGTTAGAGCTGAAAGGGACCTAGAGATTACCTAGTACAGTCTTTTCATTTTGCAGATGAAGATACTGAGACAAAGAGGAGTGACTTGCCCACAGTTACACAGCTAATGGCTAGAAGAGACCTTAGAATTCATCTAATCCAACCTCCCCCTCACCCATTCTACAGATGAGTAAACTGAGGTCTAGAGAGGTGAAATGGTTTACCAAGGTCCACATAGCTAGTAAGTATTTTAAATGGGATCAAAATGACTCTAAACCCAACAGTATCTCCTGCAATGCACTGCCTGCTCAGCTGGGATTCAGAGTGAGTCTTTTGATTCCAAATGTACTGGAACAAGGACAGATATCACTAAGAAATTATTTCATTTCATTATATTCATCTTTCACTTTCTTTGGAAACATCTGTTGCTTTGTATTTGAACATTTGATATTATGAATTAGTAAAGAGTAAAATGTTTCTATTTTTATTGCCTGATGATGTGTTTATTTAAATTTTATTTAAACCTTTACTGCTTTTTCTCCTAGATGGAGGCATAATCATCTCCCTTACCCAGGCCCTGTAAATATAAGTCCAAGAGTTAGATATGTCTGTATATTAGCAGACTAAGGGGTCTCAATACTGTCTTCCACAGAACAAATTAGTCCTGTGGGAATTTTAGAAGCCATGATTTAAAGAGAGTCACAATAAATCCAGTATCATAATTCCTTTTTTTTTTAATCTCCCTCTATACCCCAGTTTGATCTCATTCTGAATTTTTCCTTCAAGTATCAATGACAAGATTAATTAGTTATTGGCCCAGAACGCACATCAGGAAAGCACACGTTTCATTAGGGTTTTTAGAATGTCAAATTTTTAACTTTAAACATTTTCCCCTTTAAAATGAAAAGGTCAATATTCTATATTTTACTCCTATAGTAATTTTAGCATATTTCCAAGTTCTTCACATTAAACTTAGTATCTTTATATATACACATATATATGTATGTATGTGTATATATATTTGTTTGCCTATTGTCTTCCTGATTAGATTGTAAGCTCCTTGAGGGCAGGGACTGTCTTTTGCTTCTTTTTATATGCTCAGCACTTAGCACAATGCCTGGCATAGTAGGTGTTCAATAAATGTTTATTTATGGATTCATCATGTGTGAGCACATTATTACAAGTTATGGAAATAAGATAAAGATGGAGAAGAAATAGGAGATGATGGTTCTGCATGCAGGCCAGAGGTCATGGTCATTATAATCAACTGGATAGGCACTGTTGTGACAGTATGAGGGCCCAGATTGGAATAGGACCAGTTTACCCCTCTGTTACTAGCTGATATTACCCAAAAGACATATTTCATTCTTCTGTTTGATAGTGCCAAAAAAAAATAGTACTTAATCATTGTTAATGATGTATTAAACTAGCTGTAAAGACGCTATGCCATGATTCATTTATAGTGTCTTTTCCTGAAGGAATTAAAAGGAGTACTCTCATTAAACAAAAAACAAAAAACAAGACATTCATTTGCTAGACTTTAAATAGCTAGACAATAATCTCATTCAGGGACTAGAGGTTTGGAGTTCTTTGCAGAGGAGACTCCTGGAAGGAGGGTAAAGAAATAGGGATTTCTCTTTCTTCTTCCCACTCTTCATTGTTCATAGGGCCTAGTAGTGACTTGCCCAGCTGTAAACATCCCATTCAGTTCAATAGTTCTTTAGCTTGAGAAAATTCAAGGCCCAAAGAGGGAGCAGAGACACCTATTCAGAGAACCACTCTAGGGAAGAAGCAGCTTCAGGAACTGTGGCTACCCTCTAGGGATCAAATCATCAAGTGTGAGAGAAAATTGGGAGAACAGTCCAGAAAAATAAATTGATCCTGGCCCAGATCTACCTTTTCCTCTACTCTTGTTTAGTGTCTGGCTCAGAGAAATACTCTATAATATCCAAATAGAATTCTGATAACTGCCCTAAAAGATCTCAACTTCTTACAGAATCTAGAGCGTTGCACATTTAGGAGAGTATATTTTGATGGGGTTTCGGCCCAAGTTGAGATCCTCACCCCTTGTCCCAAAGGGAATCTGGCTCTACAGGCCCCAGCTCCTTATTTCCCTTTGAAAGCCTTAGCCTTATGATCTTATTCAGATGTACCTTCCTCCCTAGCCCTAAAAAGAATCTGGCTCCTGTTTATTTACGGGTCCCAGAAAACCCTTAAACTTTTAAGTTCCTTATCTACTCTCTTTATCTCTCTTTGAAAGCCCTAACCCCACCTTCTGATCCCTTCAAACTTCTACCTTCCAGTTCCCTTTATTATCAATTCCCATTGTTTATTCAATCTCTCAGACCTTCCAATTGGAATTCTCATCTAGACCCTTTCCCCAGCCCCTTCCTCTGGCCACCCAAAATTTCTTTAGTGTATAAAAGATCCACCCTGGCCCCCATTCAAAGGCTGAGAATCTGTCATGCCCAGAGGCTGAGCTTTCTCATGCTCGCTTACGGCACCTGGCCTATATGTTTTCTCTGGCTGGAAGAAGATTTGAGTTGAATTCTTTCAGGAAGGGCTCATGCCACAATCTTGGGGTCCATTCAAGGAACCCAAAACCTCTATACCTCTTCATATTTTATATACTTTTAAATATATTTTATATATTATATTTATTTATATTATATATATATATATCACCCATATATTTTAACTGCATCTATGATTCAATTTGCTATTATTTAAGAAAATTTTTTGAGAGATTATAGGTAACACTCACCAACATCTCTAGAAGGAAGTGTGTGCCTTTCTTTAGAAGCCAAACAATGCATTTAGCTTCTCCTGTGTCCTAAAGTCATTTTCTAAAGCAGGGCTTCTTCACCTTTTTTTCTATCATGCACTTCTTTGGCAGTCTGGACCCATTCTCAGAATAATATTTTTATAAGTGCATAGAATACAAAGGATAAAAAAAAAAAGAATTGTATTGACATACAGGTATAAAAATATTTTAAAAGTTCACTGACCTCAAGTTAAGAACCCCTGGTTTATAGCCACTAATTCCTGATTTTAGAATATCAAGGTATACTAAGGGGATAATCCCATTTGTTCAAATTCATAATTATCTTTCAATTATTTAATTATTTAATTTTTTTACGTTTTCAACATTCACTTTTATAAGATTTTGAGTTCTAAATTTCTCCCCTTCCTTTGTCTCCTCCCTCCCCAAGACGGCATGCAATCTGATATAGGCTGTACATGTACAATCATATTAAACATATTTCCACATTAGTCAACTCATGATTATTTCAGTGAAAATTTCAGACCCCCTCCTTTAAAATAATATTTTATTGGTGCTTTTTTTTGTTTGTTTTTACACCACTGTCACTTCCTGATATATTACCACCACCATCTTCCCTTGTACAAAGAACAGTTAAACTCTGAGAGAGTTTAACCACATCTGACTAGCATTTTTCACCAAAAGGAAGTGTGTATCAGCATTGGTCCTCTAGAGACAAGATTGGCCATTGCATGTAATCTGAGATCTAATGTCTTGTGGTGTTGTTTTCATTTACATTATTATGGACCATACACTCACACACACACACACACACACACACACACACACACATATGACATCACCCTTATGATGTCATTGGTCCTCTTTGAGAATGAAAGACTAACAACCATATACATGTGTGTATACACCCCCACATACACACATACACACACTGCTCTTCATCACTTCATATAATTCTTACCATGTATATTTGAATTCCTCATTTTTATCATGTCTTATGGGACAATAATCCATTAAATTAACATACCACATTTTTTTTCAGCCATTTCCCAAAAGATAGAAATAGTTTTGTTTCCAGAGACTGCTGCTAAGAATATTTTGTGGAATATGTGGAACGTGTGAAATACTTCTATCACAGACCTGCTTGAGGTATACGCCCTGTAGTGAAATTGCAAGGTTAAAAAATATGTATGGGCTGTTTAGTAGCTTTTCTTACATAATTCCAAATTGTTTTTCAGAAGTCTTGGACAACTTCACAATACAACAGTGTATTAGTGTACGTCTCAACAACAACTTCCTATAGCCCACTATCTTGCTGGACATGAAATGAAACTTCAGAAATGTTCACTTAGAACACTTCATATAGTTCCTTACTTCTTGAATTTATTTTCTGGTAAATTGTTTGTAATCTTTGATAACATATATTAGGGAATGGCTCTTGGTCTTCTATATTTATATCTGTTCCTTGTAGAGCTTGGCTTTCAGATTTTTATTGAAAATATTTGAGGCTGGGGCAGCTAGGTGGCACAGTAGATAGAGCAGTGGCCCAGGAGTCAGGAGGACCTGAGTTCAAATCAGGCCTCAGATGCTTAACACTCACTAGCTGTGCAACTCTGGGCAAG